ATTTAGAAACAACTTAAGTTGGAATGGAATTCCAAATGTAGCCCAAGTTGATACGAAATTTCAAAGCAACCTAAGTTGATTCTAAATTTGATACTTGACAAATTTAACGGTAATATAAAGTTGATTTAAATTCGATAAAATACAAATCTGTTTTGTCTATCCAAAAATAGAATCTCAAGATCATTCATTTTTACCTCATAATGAATTCAAGAATCGCTTTCCAAATATCTTATCAACAAATTGGCTAATAGATCATAGGTGTAAAAAACTTCATTTAATGCTTTTAAATTTAACTAATGAATAGACTCTATTTTAAAGCGACTTAAGTTCCAAAACAAAGTACCAATGAAATAATTTAGAATACACTTAATTTTATTGTAAGTTGAATTGGAATTCTTTAATGACTCAGTCACATTTTAGAATTCTATTATAACCTATGTTTATTTGGAATCAACCTAGGTGCATTCTAAATCTACAATAATTCCATTCCAACGTACGACATATATATTTAAAAGATAACAGACAAAGAGGTTATACATATTTGAGAATTATTTCTTGCCACATAATCTACGCAATCGTGAAATAACCTCCACCCCTAAGTTATTTCGAGCCCTTGCGCGTCATTACGTGAGCGTTACATCAAAATCAAAGACTAATCTTTATGAACCTAGTGCAAGCATACATTAATTCGGGACAAATGAATATTAAAACCAAAATTGCTATTTATAAAGATGTGATTTTCAAAAATAACATGTATTAAACCTTCAATTCATTGTTTAATGTAACGTATCGTCTCATCTATATTCGATATATATACTATCAATTACAATAAGTCCAATCTATACACAATATTTATACGTATATGTGTATCACATAAAAATGGAATTTTGTGTATGAATTTAGCATGTATAAGATAATGACAAAAATAATAAATCAAGAGTGGTCCAAAAGATTGGTTCAGACATTGGACTTACTGTACTATGACATTTTTATGGGAACGCGCGCGAGCTATACAATTGAAATCTATAATTGAAACCTTGGAAACTATCGTATTTCTCTGATTCTTGCGCACTATAATGATTTTAAAGATTTATACTCGGGATACATAAGTAGTACCCGGCTATGTTATAATAAAACTCACACGGTATATTCTCCCTACGCGAGTACTCCGGGTACTAAAACGAACCTGGAGAATACCCTGGGTACAACGACCCTAGCATAACCACCAAGCTCGGTTACGTAAGCGGTATTTAAAATTTAATTACAGAATTCAGACGGTTAATATCAAATGCATAACCAACCAAGTAAAGAATAAAAAGTGCATTCGAAAAAAAAATCCAAAGAAATTATGCGAAATCCGAAGTTACTAATTTTCTACCTATTAATGCATATGGTTTATAGAAATACTTATTAGATTTTATTTCCGGTGCTCTTTTTTTTTGAAAGGCGTATTCAACATCAACACAATCATTTATTTAGACAATAAAATATTATTTTATTTCGTCCATTTGTTCTTGGAAGACCTTTTGCGCGTTTCATCTTTATTATATCATTAATCATTTTTTTGAATCAATATTTTTTAGCATTAATCATTTTTTAATGTGGAAGGTTAAAAGACGTTTAAAGATACGTCTCTGCAGATGTATTTTAATAACTTTATATGATTAAAGTACCAATTAATAATTATATTAACATCATAAATTTTTATATTCTGGATTAATTTCAATTGGTATTGATAAAATTTTAATAAATTAATAAATATAAAATCTTACAATAAATAAAACATCTATTTTCAAGAGGACTACTAAAAATAATAACAGCAAATGCTGTATGTAGACTTCACCATTATTAAAAAATTATCACGTACACTTGATTATTACTTTCCTCATTTTGCTTTCTATGCTTCCTTTTCTCACATTAATTTACCAAGTTTAAGCGTTTAATACAGGCTTTTTTTTATTAGCTTCAAATAAGTTGGAACAGTCAATGTTTTAAAAACAGTTTTCTTTTTTCAAAAGTAAATCATCATTATAATCAATAATATTATTTGAAACTCCGTACGCAACTGATTAGCTAGGTTTAGAGACACCGACACAAAATGTGAATAATTTTTACTAAATTTAGGTCATTTATGTGACATTATGCGGTGAATTTTAAGCAAATAATATTTGCACCATACATTATGAATTTGAAAAAAATTATTAATGAAAAAAAAATATGTAGTGATAAATCAAAGTTAGAACAATATAAATATGTATAAGGTTCCTTACATAAATATCACACAATTTGAATTTATCACGTCACACCACGATGCATTTCAAATCGCATAATCTGGGGTCTCTAGCTAGGTTCGTGGTAGTAATGCTAGGTTCATGTGGGAATCTTAGGGGTAGTTCTCAGAAAATCATTTTTTTATATAGTCCAAGACAGTAAAAAACATCCAATATTTTATATATAATTTGTAAAAATTATTGTAACTCAATAACTTACAATATAATTAAAAATCTTTCTAACAGATTTGTTACAATTTAATAAGTTTACAATTCTGTTAGAATAGATTTTTATTTCTTTACAAAGTTATTTTAGTCTAAAGTTTATATGTATTTCCAAAAATCAACATAGGAAACCATCTTTGGTGCCTTACCAAAAAGTTTTCCTTGTGCGATTTGTGCGATTAACTACCTATTTTGCGAAAACCTAACCTCAATACAATCACTATCCCTAACTTAAACGAGCTTGAAAGATTTTTGGAACGCCATAAATACGTCACGTGTCAGTACTATTTTGAAGGCGATACTGGGAAAGATCACAAACTTGAGGAAATCAAGTTATTTTAGTTATTTTCTCGTTGAGACTGACTCAACGTCCCTATGTACCTCAATCACCATTCTCTCCAAATCAATAAGTGTAATTATTTTTTATAAAATAGAATTATTGTGCTCAGTAATCCAAATTTGAAAGTCTTATTCACTTTTTTCAAACATCGAGAACAAAGCATTGTTACTACGTAAGCTTATATTACTCATTCACAAGTTTAATGATTTAATATAAAAGCTGTTCATTCTAGACAGCTTCTTTCGATTCACATTTGTGAAATGTGTGGGATGCGATTCAAATGACATATGCATGTTAAGCAAAGAATGTAAGTCAAATAGGAACGGAATAATGTATAATCAATTCTTTAAAATGCAGATATGTGCTATCGTAAATATAAAATTTTTTAAGTTCGGGTTTTTAGAACTTTCATTCCAAGTACGTACATCCGAGTATTTTACTCTCTAAGAGTAGGCTTTTTATTATATGGCTCGTCAAAAGCACAGAGTTGTCGACGTAAAACTTGAAAGGGTGGCATTTTTCTACGTGTACAACTCAACTCATTCTCGTTATAGTGAAGCCATCAACTGAGAAAAATCTTCATTATCTTCATGCCAAGAAAGTACTATATGTCCTTCATATCGATTTGAAATTTAAACCATTCTTAACTACATCAAAAGTTCAACATATAACGAGAGATATTATCGTAAGCTACGGTCACATGATAAATTTATTACATAATAAATACAGAAATATTAGTTGTTGTTTCGAACTTTAAAGTTTGTTAAACAGATCAAAAATGACTTCAAGCGTATCAATGATAGTCGACAGTCCAGATACGCAGCATTCGGCCGATGCACCTCTGCGTGTCACTGATCTTATGCAACCTTACACGTCTACGGAATCTCGTGGTCAAAGAACGTTATTGCCTACCAACACATTAAACGGATTTATGTCTGTTCACTTCAATAATGTCAGTCCTACCAGGTCTTGAAAGTAGAATGTTAATATATACTCATTTCGTGACACATTATTTATTGTGTAATTAATTTTTTTTTTTTTCATCACTACAGGAACTTGGATTAAATGACGGTAATTTGATCACTCCTTCCTTTAATTTTTTTTACGCGACTTTGTCTGGATTTTAATCATCGATGAAATCTTGATTCAAACAATTTAGATGGCTTTTTTAACACTGATGAAGCTTTCATTCAATTTGCACAAACATTTTCGCTAATTCATCAACAAGTTGATTTACAAAAAGCTCCGGAATATTATGAAGAATTATGTGACCAACTGTTAGTTTAAGATATATTAGTATATTAGGCCATACAAACTTAATAAATCGGTTCTCATAACCCAGCAGTGTCAAATTTTACAAAAATTTTTAAGTACATTTACTATCCGGGTGGGTTTTTTATAAAAAATTTTTAAGTACATTTACTATCTGGTGGGTTTTTTTATAAAAAATTTTATGTTTTTTATCTATAAAATTTTTAGAAAATAAAATTAAAAGCTGGGTTGCCGGGTCACTTTTAAAATTTTTATGTTATGATAATTGATTTAAGTTTGTATGGCCTGATTTATTCAATTAAGAATATTTTTAACATTTTTAATTATCCATAGTTTAAGGAAAGCTCGCAATGAACCAGTGAAAAGTTTTCCTATCGATTTAACCCAATTTCGTCTCTGGGAAGCTGAACGAAATACTTGGAACTTAATAAAGCAATTGCAATTGTAGATTTGTTTTCGTTTTCTATACTAGTAACAAGAAATTTCAAGAAATTCAAAAATAATTTTCTCTTAAAGACTTAGATCAACGCATCCAACGGAGGTTAATATACCTGAAAAACTTTATCAAACGGATGGTGCACTTCAATGTGAACTTCTTGCGAGAAATTTGAGCTTTGCTGAAGCCTGGGTATTTGGAAATCTAGATGAATCGTTTTTCGTATTTTGTTTGACCATGGTGTATTCATATTAGTTTATAATTTCATAGATAGTACGCCAGTGGTTGCAAAATACTGCTCTTCAGTTCTTACCTGTTGAAACAAACCCCGAGTATTGGTCGGATACAAAAACACATATTTTGTTTAAATCAAAGAAGCTGAATTCCCAATATCTAGACCCTGATGGTCCGTACAGGACTGGAAATGCTCTGCAGCCACAAGATCAGGTTTGTCTGCGAGTTCTTAATATATTATTTATGCTATTGATTAATCTGATGATTATTCCATGATATGCATAATATTAAAAAGATTCATGATAATGAATTGGCAAAATCAATATATGAATATTTACGACGAGGACAACTAGACGCTGCTTGTGAAATCAGTAAAAAAAATGGTCAATCTTGGCGGGCTGCTAGTATAAGCGGATATATTGTTAATGGAGAAAAGACTGATGGTAACCTCGTTTTAATTATTAAGAAAGGAGATATTAAATCTTTGAATAACTGATTATAATTTTATCAGATGGCAGTGACGTTGATTCAATGATTAAGAGCTCGGGTAATATCAATAGACATTTATGGCGTGCTACCTGTTATCAATTGGCTCAGGAGGTAATCATTACATTTGATGTTTATCATATCTAACATTCACCAGTATTATAATATATGAATATTAATAATCTGATATTAGGCCGGATTTGATTTATATGATAGAGCAACTTATGCTGTGCTTTGCGGCGATGTAGATAACGTGAGTGTAGATTCGGAATAATTTTTTTCTAATCATATCGTTTATTCTAAACTATTTAAACAGCTAATTTTAATAATCTTTATTATTAGGTTTTTCCTGTGTGTAGATCTTGGGAAGATTACATATGGGCATACTTTAATGGATTAATTGAGTGTCGACTTGAGCAGGTGTGTAATGCTATATAACTCTTGTAATATAATTGCCTTAATCATATTTTGCTTTTAATAATCACTCTTGTTTTCGTGTTAAAGTATTTTAGCCAGCGAGGTCAACTCAGAGAATTGGGAGACGCCGATTTACCAGTTCCAACACAACTTTTGAGTCTCACACCAGAGGATATATTCCGTAAAGTTGATGCCCGTCAAATAGACAGGTAATTTATTATTGTTTAAAATTATGAGTAGAGTCAATATATTACATTTTAGTTCTATCCATAACTTTGACATATATTTTGTTTGCACAACGGAATTTAGGGATCCTCTAATGGCACTTTTTCATAAGATTCAAAAGCTCTTTATTTTAAATAAACTGGATGAAATTATTAATTGTTTGAAGGAAGAGTTGCTTGATAAACAGCTAAGTTATTATGAGTGCGTATAAGTTGATTTGTGGTAAGAGATTTGTTTTAAGGTCTAGAATCAATCCTTATTCACTTTTTTTAACTTTGCCAGCAATACTGCTTATTCTCATATTCTACGCTTCGCAGCCCACTTTGTGTTATTTTTACGTGATATTATGCATCCAACACCAGATAAGGAGTCAGATGATTTGATTAAGACTTACACCGAACTATTAATTGATTTCAAGCAGGTTTTATAGTCTCTATAATTTCGTTCCAATAAGCTATTGCACAAGACTTACTAAATGGATATCTAATGTACAGGATTCCATAATTGCTTTATATGCTTCAAAATTACCTAGAGAAATGTCAATTGAAACCTATGCATTGTTTTTGAAAAGTAATTACAATTTAGCAAAATTAAAACCTCTCCAAGTTTCATCAACAAATATATGTATTAATTTCTTAAATCATTCATATTTAGATATAACTGGAAGTTATGATGAACGATTTAAGTTTTATAGTTTAGCTGAACAACATAGTTTAAATGTTACAGCAATAGCTAGAAGAACATCCGATTTGATATTAGAAGAATATTTGAAGAACGTAGGTACTTCTTTCATATGCACTTAGTAATCATGCGCAAACTTTATTCATAAATCTCAATATAACATCATAGGAGAGATATCCAAATTCAGATTCTTCCTCTCCAAGAATTGCATCTCCCAATGAGCCAGTTGATTCTAAGGATATAGTACTTATTCGTGGATTAGAGTGGTTGACATTCAATAAGGACCAAGTAGTTGAAGCCATGGATCGTGCTAATGCTTTGTTTAGACGATTCTTAGGTATAAGATATTAATTAAATCTAATGAATTAAATTGTATTTCACCGATCTTATTGTTTTTATGTATTAATTTCTAGTTTGTGGGAAATTGAATGCGGTGAATACTCTTCTGAGCTCAATGGCTAACCCTAAGTCGCCTTTAGCAAGTTATAATTTTGATCAGGAAGCGGAAGGTCATGATTTAACGGTGGTTCTTGAATATTCTTTTTACCGTACCATGTTTAATTTTTTTACCAAAGATGAAGATTGGGTAAAAATATGGACAGAAAAACCTCAAAGGTATTCTTGATATAATTTTGAAGTTTTTTATTTTAGAAATTAAACGTGAATGCTAACAGTGTTTAACATAATTTATCATAAGTCAAACATCGTTCCCTCGAAATAGTAGTGAATGGACTTTGCGCATTAAAGTAAGAATTTTAATAGAATCGATAGAATTGAGAAATTTATTTAAATTGAACTCTTACGAATAAATCTCAGGAAACCACAGATGCTTTAGATCAACTTTTTGATCAATTTTTAAATGCTTATATAACCAATTCTGAGTCTGAAGAGGATAAAATTATTACAGAAGAAGGTAAAAAAAAACAAAAAAATTTGAATCAACTTATCGATCTGAATTATATACAAGCTATATAATTTGTATCATATAGAGGAAAGAAGGATACAAGAATTGCAACGAGTGTCTGATATCTATATTCCAGAAGTTATTACTCGTTTGCATCGAGTATATTTTAAAACACGTGGTATTATTCCTGGGTTAGTATTTTGGATTACGTCATTTTTTATCTCCTAATTTTAACTAATCTAATATCAATTGTATCAATTATAAATTATCTTAGCAATTTAGATAAAAGCCTTCAACTAGCCGATCTAGTAGCTGATGAAAGTCGTCATCTCTATGTGCATTTCCGGCGTTCAAAGAGACTATCTCTATTTTTAAAGATGTTACGTAACTCTTACCTCGAGATCACAAGAGAAAATCCAGACGACATTATTGTTTATTAAATACTTTTTTTTTTTTTGGATGCGTTTATTGTTGTATAATCACATTTTCTCATACTATTGTAAGTAAACAGCATCGATCTAGATAATACTGTAATGCATTTTTTTTTTCTCAATTTAAAAAACAAATTAAAGACAATTGGTAAAATGTTTGAAAGGTTTGGTAAACGTTAATTTACTTTCGCTTTTTTTTTGAAAATTATTACAACTATTGTTAGTAAATAATCAATGTGCGAAATATACACATTTCGTTATTTCATATTATACTACAAAATCCCAATCTAATCTAAAATTGTGATGCCATTTGTTGACAGGCCTTAAGATTTTCTAGGTACCATTGGCATAAATTGGTATTATAATTATTTTGTTCTAAACATTTAGATAAAGCCTTTGCATCTCGTTCACACGTTCTATCACCAGTGGACTGGTCATCAACTTGAAAAGATCGTTGCTAAAATAAGATTAGGATAAATATATTTGAAGAATAAATTGAAACAATATAGTTTTAAAGTATTAATTACTTCGTATTGAGTTTGGGGTGAATATTGTGATTGAGTATCCTGTGCTGGTGGTTCAGCCGAACTACCACCTGAGAAAAGAGAAGAGATTCCATGACCCTATATAATTGTTATTTTAGCGAAGGTAGCTTTTAAGACGATTTCATTGTTCATTTTATTGAGTTACATACAATATTATGCCCGATAGCAACACCAGCTGCAGTTGAAGCCACCTGAGAATAAACAAAAAAAAATCAACATTCATAAAATGTTAACCGACTTCATGCCATTTTTGAGAATAATACCTGTCCTAACAAACTAGGTTGTTTTACAGCAGGAACTGCTTGTGAGTTTGGAGGAACTGCTGGAACATTGCTAGACTGAGATTTTGTTTGAGAAGTCGGTGTTGGTGTTGAACGAACAGGTAACGTGGAAGCTTGACGCTTTTGACTTGGTGCCCTAACTGGAGCTGAACGGCTTGAACGGCTTGTTTTGCGAGGCATTAATTTAGAATACAGGAATAGAGAAAATAACGTTATCAAAAAAAAAATTATTACTTATAATTGCTACCATAATTGCTACCTGATCGACCAATCAGGGTACAGTATCAGGTGTAACGTGATAATCAATGATTATTTTTTTAAATCAAATTTTGCCAAACATGTTCAAATTAGTTTTGGCCCCGATCCACTTCCCCCTATATAACTTTGAAATCTAAAAAATGATAATCATATAGAAAAAAATATTTCTTTTTCTCTTTCACTGGTTTTTTTAGTGCCATACTTTTTTTACATGCCCACCTTGTAATGTCGAAATCAAAGCGTAAGTAACAAACCCGGTGATGTGAAGATAAACGTCACTTCTTCATCTGGAACTCAAAATGCGTTTCAACTAGAGATGGGCAAGGTAATTACTTATTACGTAAAAAATCAAATCACGTTATGCGACAATTTACTAATAATATATACTTACAACTAATAACATGCTAAATTGTCGCATAGTGTGATTTAACTTTTTACGTAATAAGTAATTACCTTGCCTATTTCTAAACTGGTGCTGGTAAAGCAAAAAGGAAAGTTATTTCAACCATGGTCAGTAATAAAGACCTAAACGTAAACAGTAATATTGGATCAGTAATAATTAAGTGGAGGTTAGTAGTTTTAATGAACTTAATTTGATTAGAGTAATAAGATTTTTTTCGTTAAATTTTTTTTTACTTATTTAATGTTAAGGTGAGTATTTGTAATATAGCTTATATTGATAGTATGTTTCAGTTTTGTGATTGTATTAAAACAGTTACAGAAGGCAACCAAAAGAAGAGTGTATAACTAGTTATTTGTATAACTTTAGTTATTGTTTAATTTAAATAGTTTGTTTTAAGGTTTTACATTAATTATTATATTTAAAACTTGTTTTTTTTTATTTTTTTTTATTTTTTTTAACTTTAAGCAATTATGTTAGTACTTTATTAAGATTCTTAAAACTATATACATTTATAATTACATAGAATTTTCCAATATTTAAGTTTAACATTACTCAATTATCCTATTGGTATTTAAGTGCAATTTGTTGTATTATTTCAGTTAAAGATAGACTGTTTATCTAATTACTTAAAGTTATATCAAAAAGGTTTTTCTTTTTTTGTAACAAACATATTAATTGTTTTTTAAGTTTTCTTTTTTATTCAGTTCAGTTTTTTTATTTTTTTTTTTTTTATTTTTTTCTTTGTTGTTTTATTTTTCTTTGTTTTTTTCTCTAACCTTTTTTTAGTTTGAGCATCTTCTTTCATTTTGATTATTATATTAATTTTTTTTTCTTATTTTTGTACTTTCTTATATTGAACTTTTTATACTTGGTTGTAGAATATATTTCATACTATTTTTGTTATTATATTTATACATTTTTGTGTTATTTGTCTATTTAGAATTTAATTGATCTTTTTTTTAATTTTTTTTGTTGTTAGTTTTTTTATCAAAACTTTTTTATTAGTAATTTTTTTGCTTCTGTTTTTCTAAATAATGTTTTATATAGCATTAAAAGTAGATTTCTAACTTTTTAAGACTATTTTATATTGTTATTATTGTTATTTTTTGGATTTTTTTTACAAGCTTTTTTATTTAATACAACTTACTAAGTGTATTTGAGTTTCTTTTTCATCTTTTTGATATACTTGATAGTTAGTTGTTATATATATTTCTGGTCTTCTTCTATTTAATTCTTTTAGTATTAGTAAGTTATCTATTATGTATTTAATTACTGTTACTTTTCTTGTATTAAGTTTTCTTATTATGCAATATACATCTTTTATTCTATTCATCTTTTTCTAAAAGCTTGATCAATTATATTGAATGTTTTCAGTTTTTGGTTCTAGTATTTGAATTGGATTTGTTTCTCTTCAATTGGTTTTAATTTTGACATTTGTGACTATTTTGCAAAAAAGTTTTGTTGTTATATCAACTTTTTTGTTTTTCTATTCTAAGTAATATGCTATTTTGTCATACTTGATCTTCTCTGTAGATATTATCCTTCTACATATTGTTTTTTTTTATAAATAAATTTGCTCTGTTATTTTATTTATCATTACTGTAACTTTTAATTTTAACTAGTTCTATTCTATTGTTCTTGTTTTTAAGTAAACCTATAATATTCATTATCTATATTGTATTTTTTTTTTTTTAGGACTTTGTTATCTTCTACCTTTTGAATTGTTTTGTTAATATGCCTTATTGCTGTGAGACTATCTGTATATATTTCTATATACTTCTTCTCTAGTATAGTTAAAATTACTAGACATATTGTTACTAATTCTGCTACTGTTATTAAGGATCAATCTTTAAGTTCTAATACTATTTCTTCCTCTGGTCAGTTTTTTTCATTACTGATCTGCACTCAATTGATACTTATTTTTTCTATATTATATTTTTCTTTCTTTTTATAAAATATTTCATCTGTATAAAAAGTATATTTGTCTTTGTTTTTTATCTTATTTCTTATTAGAAATTCTATTAAGTAATTTGTATCTTTATTATTTAATTTTTGTTTCGTAATTAATTTTTTTTTTAGTTTTTCTACTTGTTCTAGTCTGATTAAACTTCTTTTTTCTTTTCTTTATTCTTTTATTATTCTGTTTTTTAGCATTTGTTCCAATGTTGCATTAATCTTGTTACTGCCTTTCTTTATTAATGTTTCTAGGACTGCCTTTATATTACTGTTCTATCTTATTCACTTTTTACAATTATCTGTTATTTGTTCTATTCTGTTTTTGCACCTTTTGTATTTACTTATTTCAGTATATGCATGCTTTCTATTTTCTGCAATAGCCAATACCCAGTTAAGATCTTTTTCTTTTTCTTCTTTGATATTTTACTGAGTTGCTAATTATGCTTTGATCTATATACAATCTACTTTTCTTTTTTTTGTTTTTAGATATCTTTGTTTAGTTAATCATTAGCATTTATATATTGTAGTCTCTAATCTTATAATAGTTGTGTATTTCTTTACTTGTTTGTGTTATTAATATTTTTTTATTTTACTGAACTATTTATTTTTTTTATTTTATATGATAGCTCTAGAAGACTTTTAAGCTGTTTTTACATGATTAGGTTCTTTTTTTCATGTCTATAAGTTGGTTTAAATATATCAAACCCTAATTATTTATTGTACTACTAATTGCTATTTATGATTTAATTCCGACTAAGTTCCTTATACTTATATATTTTCTACATATAATTTTCTACTTTAATATTTATTTCTATTTCTTTTGCTTTAACTATTGTCTGACAAGCTAAGTTGTATTTCCAATACTTCATTTCTGTTAATCTTCTTATAAAGTCCCAAATGTCTTTTATTAATTCTGTTTTCTAATATCATTAAGCTATTCTAAGCTTTGTTAGATTATCTAGAGTATTTTTTCTATTAAGTCTTGCAAATAAACTGCTTATTTGTTTTGTTGCTATCTTTTGACTTAGTAATTTACAGTTTTCTAGATCTTTGTATTTAATTATATAGTTGTTTGTTGTTTTTATTATATTGTACTTATGTTTTGCCAAACATATTATTAGCTAGTAAATCTTATCAATTATCTTTTTTGATATTTTTGTTAACTGCAAAAAATATCCTAACTTTGAAATTATTACTATATTATTTATATATATGATCTGACTCATTGTTATTTTTTTATATCTAAGGTCTTTAACTGTTTGGTTAACTATTCTTTTTACTTTTTTGCAAACTAATAACTCTTTCATTCTGCTGTTTAGCCAAATTTCTAATAATCTTATAATTTTGTTTTTTGGTTCTTTTGTTATTCTACTCTGTCTAAATGTAATTTTTTTATTTTTCTTTTTCAATCTAAAATTTATTACTATAAGCTTTGACTTCATTCTATTTATTTAATATCATTCACTTTGAAGAACTCTTCTGCAATTTCAAGAATTCTTAGCAGTTGATCTTTGCTATTTGCAATCCACATAGTATCATTTGTATAAGCAATTGCTGCTTGCCTATGTTTTGTGATATAATTAATATCTATATTTCTTAATGATTTTTGTTTTACTGTATAGCTTAGTAATTTATTTTCTTGAATTCTTTCTAACAATAGATTATAGAAAAGTTACCAAATTAGTAAAAAAATTACCTTTTCTTGATCTATACTATCTCCTGCTATTATTTCTTCTATTAGACCATAAGTTATGATCATTTTAAGTTGATGTTTACAGAAGAGGTTGATAATATATTTTATTGTTCTTTGTAATACTTTGACTCTTCTAAGAGCCCACTTCAAGCTTTTTAATAAGACTAAGTCAAATGCCTTTTTTATGTCTTATAGAAGTATTTATGTTTCTTTATTTTTTTTGGTGATTCTTTTATTATTATATTTAGTATATATATTAGTTGCTCTGTTAAGTTGCTAGATAAACCTGTGTAGTTTGGTCCTTTAAGTATTTCTTTTTCTATAAATATCTTGGCCAGTTTTTTTATTACCACCTTTGTGATTAACTTTCTAAAAGTCTTAATTAATGTTATTGGTCTAATATTGTTTAGATTATATTTTCAGTTTACATCTTTTAAGATTAAATAGATTTGTATTATTTTTTACTTTTTTGGCATTCTTCTGTTTTTAAAACCAGATTTGCAATAACTCTGAAAATCTTCTGTGATTCTTTTTCTACTTATTTTATTAAGATATAGCTTATGCCTAAGATTCTCAAAGCTATATTAGCTTTGAGTTCTTTTAATGTATCTTCTTATTCTTCTTCTTCTATCTTTTCTTTTAATTGTTCGTATCAGAACTCTTTGATTTACTCTTTTGGGTTGTATACTTTTATCTATTTCTTAGTTATTTCTTCTAGTTTGGTTCTCCACTTTCTGAATTAATTTCTAAAATGCTTTGCCAGATCATTCAAAACAGTTTTAGGTTCTGTCATTAGACTGACTTTATCTTCATTTTGGGTTATAAATCTGTTCAGAATTATTTTTTTGTATAGTTTGTTTTAAAGGCTAA